GGGCTTGCTTTAAATTTTACATTATACTGCAGCACTTAGAAGTTACGTAGCTTATGTAAGAGCACAATTCTTGAAGAACCGACTCGGATGAATACTTTTTCTTGAGTTTTCTAAAAGTATTATATGTGTAGCTGTAGCTGGCCAAGAAACGTGCGCATGTTGAGATTTGCGTAAATTGGAAACTCCAACTTAAAATATTACCATACTAAGATAGACAGAGGGACTGCAGATACCTCCCTATTTAAAATTATGTTATTAAAGGGCACAGATATAGTTCGCAAACGCAAAGTTAGATGCAGTTACTTGAAAGAATTATCCAAGTATTCTCTACGTTTCTACCATACCTGAAACATTGTATTATAATAAAACATTATATTATTCTACCATATCTGAAACATTATTTATACATTATATATTAAAATACAATTGACACATTAATAAGTTTTTTAAATTTTGTTTTTCTCTTTACATTTTATTCTTTAATTTATGTTATTTGTTAGTTATTTTGTCCTTTTATTAGTTATTTGTTTTTTGCCTCTTTTCATACGGTTTTTCATAGGGCTCCTGCTCTTATAATCGTAGGTATTAAAAACTGTGCTAATAAGACTTTCATATTTTCTCTTGTCACAGTTCAGAGTTCTGTTGAATATATAGTAGAAGCTCCAGTACATTCCTTTAAGCTCAGAACTGTATCCATCGGCGTTGAATGGCTTAGCACATTATGCCAATTCACAAGAGAATATGTTTGACACTGAAATTCCTTTTCAAACTTTATTTATTTGACGTTTTTAAAAAGTAACAAATAGTTTTTATTTTTTCGTCAGAGCTATTATCGCTTTCTGATAATTGTATCTACCATATGTAAACTTGTACGCCTATGCACCTTCCAACAGAGTTCGATTTCCAGACAAAAATTTCAAAGGTTTCGGCGTCTCTGCGGAATGAGAGAACGGCCAAAATATTAAGGGGTCTCACGACCTTTAAATCTTCAAAAATATCGATTTTTTGAAAAACATATATGTTTTAGTTTGAACATTTCTGCGCACTTTAAAAAAACCGTGTTAAAATATTCCGTGTAGTTTAGGAGATATCATTAAAAACGTAAAGGTCACTGACACGAGAATCCTTCATCACGTATGTAAATAAACATTTAAAGGGACACGTCATTTGCTCACAGCTGTCATAGCCGTTATATAACTGAGTGTTGCTACATTCTAGCCTACAAGTCTTATTTTTATTTCGTCAGCAATCAGTAGCAATGATTCTACTCAACTTAATACTTATTCTGAATGTTTACATCGTGTTTCCGTAAGCTATTACTACGTTGTTTGATTCTGCAAAGTTGTATTGACGTTTGCAGCATTTATTTGGTGTATATTGAATTTTTGATGCGTTAGTCTTTTTGCTGCAATAATAAGTATATTTATATATTATATTTGTGATGGCAAATAATAAAAGAGCTTCTGGGAAGCGAGCTAAAAAACGTCGCTTCCACGGCAACCGCTACACGAATATCAGATCTGAACTTTCTGATAAAAGCTTGGTTTCATCAGGTGATGACCATAATACTCAAATTGAACATGTAAGAAAGTGCATCCGAGAAAAAGCTTAACAATGCATTATTTAATGAAAGTGATACTGACATTATGAATCGTTTTCATGGCTATATAATTATGGATAAAGACATATTGTTTACATTTTTGAAAGAGAATGTAATGTGCAAATTGTGCTGTAATTCTGTCAATATTTCTGAGAGAGAAAACCCTTTGGATTATTTTCAACAATTACTGTGAAATGTGAAAAGTGTAGTTTTAAAACAGAATTCAATAATTCAAAGTTGATTGGTGAACACAAAAATGTTCCTGAATTAAACAGACGAATTGTTTATGCTATGCGATGCATTGGTCAAGGTCTGGAACCTCTGGAAACATTTTGTGGTGTAATGGATCTAGGTAAACCTGTGACACAGAATGCTTATGACAAAATCTGCAAACATATAAATGCAGCTTCAAAAACTGTCGCCATTCAAAGTATGAAAATTGCTGCAGAAGAAGAGGCATGCAAAACTGCATCAAATTCTGTCACCGTAAGTGGTGATGGAACATGGAAAACGAGAGGACATACTTCACATATTGGAGTATGTTCTGTAATAGGTGCTGAAACAGGGAAGGTTTTAGATGTTGAAGTTCTCTCGTCCACTTGTAAAGGATGTGATCTATGGAAAGCAAAAAAATCTGGGAAAGCTTTCGAAGAGTGGCAAATGAAACATTTGCCAAATTGTCAGAAAAATCATATCGGTTCTTCAGGAAAAATGGAAGTCGATGGTATGATAAAAATTTTTCACAGATCAGAAGCTGAAAGAGGTCTCAAATATATTAATTATATTGGTGATGGTGATTCTAGAACATTCCCTGCTATACGTGACAGCAAACCATATATGATGATGAAACTGTTTCAAAACTTGAATGTGTTGGTCACGTACAAAAAAGAATGGGAACTCGACTGAGAAAGCTAAAACAAGACTATAGATGTAAAAAGCTGGAGGACGGTAAACCTTTATCAGGCAAAGGACGACTGACAGACACCATGATAAATAGGCTGACTCAGTATTATGGAAATGCAATTCGCTCAAATGCTTTGTCAGTTGATGAAATGCGTAAGGGTATTTGGGCAGTTTATTTTCATACGAGATCAACTGATGCTGAACCGTTACATACATTTTGTCCTGCTGGTGCAGACTCATGGTGTAAATATCAACAAGCAGTTTCAAATGGCTCAGTGGGTAAATTTCATCATAAAGTGACTTTGCCATCTTCAGTCATGGATGTTATAAAACCTGTTTTTAAAGCTTTATCAAGTCCAGATCTTTTGAAACGATGCCTTGGTAGCTTCACTCAGAATCCGAATGAATCTTTTAATTCCCTCATATGGCAGATGTGTCCGAAAACTTCTGGATCTGGGAAACGAATTGCAGAAATTGCTGTATATGAAGCAGCAATTTTATTTAACATGGGCAAAAAGGGTAGGCTATCTGTCATGAGGCAAATGGGTATCCATCCAGGTATAAATGCAATAAAATCTCAACTTCGCAGTGATATGAAACGTGTAAATACTGCTAAGAAGAGAGCAATGCAAAACACTATAGAAGCACGAAAAGCAAGGAAAAGATCCAAAACAAGTTTAGAACATCAGCAAATTGATCAAGAAGGAATAATGTATGAACCTGGAGGTTTTTAATTTGTGTATATAAATATTATGAATAGTAACAGTATTTTGTGATAAGTTATGTGTGTCGACAAAAATTTAAACATCTTGTTCAAGAAACTGATTATTAATATATTTTTATTCTCAGAAATATTTATAGGTTTATAACACAGTTTGCACATTGCATTCTCTTTCATGTATATGAAAAATATATCTTTATCTGCAATAATGTATCCTTGATAACGGTTGACTGTGTCATCACTTTCATTAAACAATGCATTGTTAATTGTTTTTTTTTTCAGATGCAAGTTTCCTTATTATAAATATATATTCTGTCATTAACTTTATTCAAAACACAAACAAAAAGCATAAAATACAAATTAGGTACCAAATAGTACGAGTTAAGACTCATTAAGTCACAATGTTACTCATTTTTATAGCGATGCAAACTTTACAGGTCTTTATCTCAAAACGTATTTTTTTAATGCGTCGCGCATGATATTTCAAAAACTTTTTAATGTATCTTTCTGAAATTTGTACCATAGTATTATCATGTTACACTAAATTAATTAAACTAAAATTTTGGTATTTTAATGAAATGTTTCAATTTTATAAGGTATGTAAAAATCAAAATATAGCAAAAAAATTATATTTAATATATATCATAAAAAAAATTAAAAATGCATGAATTGTGTAATATTTTTAGTTCAGTTATATTCTCAAACATTCTTCTGCATAAAAAAAGAAAATTAAACATTTTGGTACAAAACATTTCTTGTACATGTGCGCGCAGTGTGCGTACAGATTAATTAGATGTGAAAAATGTCTTATAATTTAACATTTGTTTTTACAATTTTTATTATAATTTTCAAATTTCAAGTACATCTAATTAAAGAATAGACATTAAATTAATAATGAACAAAATATTGAGTATTTTTGATAAGAATTAAAAAAGTTGCACAAGATTGAAAAAAGGTAAAAAAATTCATCTTTCAACTCATTCAAGGGTCGTGTGACCCCTTAATCTCATTTTGAAACATTGAGAATGTGTAAAGTGGAAAACAGTACTACACATGGCAGAACGCAGATTTAATAAATAGCAGCAAATACTGTTTCTGTGGGTCATTGCACCTCTTTTTTGGGTTTATGTGCTTGAGAATGCATCGAACCATGAGCATTAAAATAATTTTATATTTTAATCTACGTAAGTATGAAGCTAATACATATGAAAACCTTAATTATTTGTTATGAAAGAAATGAGGAAGAATATGAAAAATCATACATATACGTGTCTATGTACTTTTCCGACGTTGTCTCCCTGCGTGTATTTCAGCATTTTGAAAAAATGTATGGATAACTCATGAGCATTCTTTTGTTTTTGACTGCGGCCATTTTGGACGGCGGTCTTCCAATCTTCATAGCTTCGAAAACGTTTGTTTCCTATCGCCTCACTCAGCCGTCAAAAAACATGAAAGTCACTGAGATTTGGTGACTAAGGTGAGTGTATGTTACATTAAAAATTAATATCCTGCATTGCTGAAACAGTTAAATGAACAATATGTGGTCATGCACTGTCATTCAATAACAATACAAGTTGGAAATTCTCGTCGTTGACTCTTAAATTCAGCGCTAATGTAAATTTTAGAGCAGATACATATAAAATCGCCACTGAATTAGGGATAGACATGCTTATGCAAATTTTATAGCGCTGCGCGGCATCTGTGCTCACGTGAGGAAGTTGTGGTTAATGCTCATACAGCTATGGTTGTTGTTAATCGATTGTTTCAAATATCAGTATGAGTAAAATTTCTGATTTAGACAGCTTCAATCTCGGACAGATAGTAGGCACTCGACGCATGGGCCATTCAATTTCCAAAATCTTCAGCAGGCTAGGATTTTCAAGGTCGACAGTGGCAAGAGTATACCGAGAATACCTGGATGGTGGGAAAAGAACTAGCGATCGGGCACAATTAACGAGGAACAAGCGTGGTGTGAGACAACTCAGCCGTATTGTACATAGTCAACGAAGCCAAACATTAGCTCAAATTACCACCCAGCTGAATCAGAGCGACAGTCGTACAGTCAGTAAAAGGATCGTGCAACGCTCCCTTCACCATATTGGCTACGGAAGCCGTAGACCCACGAGAATACCTTTGCTGAATGCATGCCATCGAGCTGCCCTTCTTGCCTGGGCAAGAGAATACAGACTCTAGTGGATCTGAAATGAGTAGCGAGGAGTGATGAGTGATGAGTCTCGATTCCGACTAATTAATACTGATGGGAAGCTGAGAATATGGCGTCAGACTCATGAAGCCATTACCCTGTATGGCAGATTAGAACTGCACAGATTAGAACTGGAATGTTTTCTCTTCGCAGTGCTTGAGATCTTTGGTACTTGTACCAACTTCCCTCAATATGATTCGGTATGTAGAGTTGTTGGGCGAGCATCTCCATCCATTTATGTTGTCCTGTCATTCACACGGAAATAGAGTATCCCAGCAATATAACTGCACCTCTAAGAGGTCCCGGTTGGATCAGCGTTCTTCTAACTTCTATGTCATAAATTGGCTACTTAAAGGCTCTGATTTAAATTCTACTGAGCATCTTTCGGACGTTTTGGAGAAAGGTTTGAAACCTCAACACACAACACTAGCGACTCTTCCTAAATTATAGACAGCTCTATCCAATGTTTGGCAGGCCATTACCGTAGAATGTTTCCAGAAACTTATTAAATCCATGCTTCGTCGTTTGGCAGCCATTATAAAGGGCAGAGAAGGCCCAACTCGTTATTGAATTGATTAGCTATCCCTAATTCAGTGGCACTTCAGTGTAATACAAGGTGATAATATTTGGTAGTAACAATATGAAAAGCGATACGGCGTTTATAATGATTCAACGCAAAATGCCGTTTTAAGACTAATATCCATTTGAGACTAACGTACATTTCGAGCTAAAATTTTATATTTCTGCAATTTTCAAATGGATAGTAATTACAATTAGCACTCAAATGCATAAAATAACGTTATAGAGACTGATGCATTTTTGAACGCAGGAAACGCAAAAGATCAACCGTGCCTAGACGAGAATTCGAGCCGTGGATCTTCCGATCGACAGCTAGACGTGTTTACATCACAAGAGCAAGGGAAGAGGACGCGTTAAGAACATTAAAAGGCAATTGAGCAGATGCGCTAGACTCAGTGCAGGTTGTGAAGAATTAATTGTCTACCATATTTTAGTTCGGGTGCTATCACAGGCTGTGTTCTTCGGAGCCAGGAAATAGAAAATAATTAACTGTCCTCTTGCTATGATTTGAACCACGAACTTCCTAACAGCCAGATGAATGTGCTAACTATTTACACTCCTAGAGCGTGCATGAGAGACAAAAATAAACAACGTTGTATGGTCATTAGTGTTATGCTAGAGACGTGCAAAATGACCAATGCCCTCGCCAGGACTCGAACCTGGACTTCTGGAATACGCACCGAATGTGCTACCGTTAAATAACGAAGGCATGCAGAAAAGGAGGAAGAAAATACCTTACATACTCTACATACTCTAGGGCTCTCTCTCTCTGAGGTTGTCAGCCATGTCGCATGGTGTGATGGTGTGTGGTTTTTAAAATGTTTATAATTCCGTGCATATTTAATTTTGCTTTGTGAAACCACTTTTAAATGATTGCTTAGTTGCTCCGGTTTGCGAAAAGGTGCTACACTTTACTGGATGCTGGATACTTTTGAAGATATGAAGATTTTTAAATTCAGCGTCGGCCAACCAGCTCATCTGCATATGAAAAGTTTTTTTTTTCCTTATATCTTTTTACATATTATGTGTAAATAACTTCTGATTCTATATTTAAAAACCTTGTTACTTACTCTAAACTATATATGAAAAAGGACGACTCTAGCTTTTGGTTTTAAAGAAATAACGTGTTTTTAAAACTTTGAGTGGTGTTGGATTTTAATGGATGCCGATTGTTGACAATTGAAAGCCTTGTATTTTGCACCTTCCGGTCAGTCTTTATTACGCCAAGTGGAAAAAAATTTTTGAAACTGTTTTTTTATGTTTTTCTAGGAGTAACTAATTGATAAACTGGTGCACCTGCGTTATGAAACTTTTCGGCCCGTTGGTCGATTTTTCTATTTTTGTGTAGAAGTCAATTTTTAAGCATGTTTGAATGGATTTTTTTGGCCTGTTTCAAAAGTATTTTAGGCCATTTTTGAATATTTTATGGAATTTTATTGTGGGAATTTGATTATTTGCTTATTGTGCTACTTTTATGTAATATTGATGTATTTAAATAGGAAATTTTGAATGTTGTGGTATTTTATTGATTTTTAGAGATTTTTAAATTTATCATAGCACGATTGTATAGCGTGCATTGTGCAAACATATATTTTTTATTTGCTTTTATTAAGCTTTAAATGTAGTTGGATTGCAAATTAGTATTCTGCGTATTTAGAATTTTGTAAATTCTTGTAGTGTTATAAATTTGTATATTATTTTTTTTTAACTGTCTGTATGTAGAGTGTGCGGAGTTTTGATAAAAGATTGCAATTGGATGTTTTTAACTGTATTTATGTGTTTTTAATACATTATATTTGGAGCCCGGCCACTTAATATAATTTCATTATGCCTAATACAGATGATAAAATAGAAGATGAGGTTAATACAACTGAAGATGAAGAAAGGGACATTGTGCAAATCGTTAATAGTTTACATAGAGTTGTCGATAAAATCAAAGCACAGCGTAAAATTGGATGTACTTTAACTGACAAATTGACTTATGGACTAAACATGATTTTGACTTGTGCTGGAGTTAGGAAAAACTCTCAAGTTACCGGGTGTGTTGGATGTGAAAATTCTAATGAAGTAATTGCTTTGAGAGAAGAGATTATGAAAATGAGAAGTGAAATGACCTCCGAATTTGAGAAACTGCACGGAGATGGATCTCCTACATATGCTAAGGTCACGGCTAAAGGAATTGGATGAGATAGTGATTAAACCTGCGGTTCCAGATATTAACTGCATATGATGAAATTGCATATAAAAAGAATTGGCAACTTATAAACGTCTAATTCGGAAGACAAAATTTGAAACTAAGAAGAAATTTTTTCTTAATAATCTTTATTATTATGATGGTTTTTATCGATCGAATTGCCTCTAAAAAAGTGAGACGTGCTGTTGCTCTGTATAATCCCTTAGCACGTTGACAATTTGATTGAACTCAATAGACAGAAGCTTTTGCAATCACTCAAATTGGAGCACCTGGGGATATTTCATTAGATGAGGATAGACTTTCTGATTGTCCATTGGATGACGCTGTAATTACAGAGGCAGAGATAAGAAGTGCAGTTGAACAAATGAGGCGTCGAAGCGCTCCGGGCCCGGACTGTTTGTTTAATCCTATATTTGTTCAGATTTTAATTTTACATATCTGGATATTTTTTATATTGCTTTTTAATTACTGTTTTAAATTTATGTGTTTCCAAGAAATTGGAAAATCGGTCGAGTTGTTTTAATTCCAAAGCAGAATGACAGATATAGACCAATTGTACTTTTGAGTGTTTTTGGAAAAGTGTATGAAAGAATCTTGGTTGAGAGATTGAAGTTTTACCTGAATAGTAGAATGATGCTCAGTCGGCGACAGTATGGTTTCACAGCTGGCTGTTCTACAGATGATGCATTATATGATACTATTGACTTTATTAGAAGCTATAAGAGTTCGCATCACGTAGTGCTGCTGTCCTTGGATGTTTCGTCTGCATTCGATTCAGTGTGCTGGAACTCTATTTTACAAACCATGATTAACCTTAAATTGCCAAGGAATTTGATTCAATGTTATAGGAGTTATTTTAACAATCGCAAAATCTTGTTTAATGCTTTTAAGGATGAAACAGTAGAGATAGAACTAGAGATTTTCATTGGTTGTCCGCAGGGCTCCTGCAGTGCTCCCCTGCTCTGGAATATCATATTAAACAAATTTCTTATTTTGGAATTCCCCAGTGATGTTAACTTTATTGCATATGCAGATGATCTTGCTGTTCTGATGTATGGTGCATCATTGGAAAAACTCGAGAAATCATTTGAGAATGTTATGTTTAAAACTGGAAAACTGGAGAATCGGCGAGGGTCTTGAATTGAACTTAGAAAAAACTTTTGCAATCATTTTCCCGCGGGCTGGGGGATCAAAGTGAGAGCTCCACGATTTAGATATCAAGGAAAAAGAATAAAGTTCGTTGATGTTATTAAATATTTGGGAATCAAAATTGATTGCAAGTTGACCTTCGCAGATCATTTAAAACAATTCATCGGCTCTCAGATGATATGTTAATGTTTTACAGGAGATCTTTTTCTAGTGAGACACTTTTGTAACAAATCATGCATTCTTAAAGATATTTTGAATAATGTAATTATCCCTAGAGTTTTCTATGGAATTGGTGCCTGGGGATCCAGAGCCGGGGATTTGGTCAGGTTGAGGAACAAACTCGATGCGATACAGAGGAGCTGGTTTGCTTAATGATTACAAGATGTTTCCGTACTGTTTTTCAACTGAGGTGCTCTGCGTTCTAAGCCGGCACGCCGCCTCTTTCAATTTTATATAAATTATATTTTGAAAAATTTTTGTTCAGAACTGGTAGACTTGATTTTAAATTGTATAAAGATATTTTGATTACAAGGCATATGTTTGAAAGAATTAATAATATTTTGGTACATCCTTCTGATCTATGTGTTTTTGAATTTGATTGTAAACTCCCAATAATTGGAGAATTGGATATTTATACTGACGGGTCCAGGCAAGATGATAAATTGGGTGCAGCATTTGTGATTTATCATTATGGAACTGAAATTGAATATAAAAAATATAAGCTTAATAATTATAATTCTGTATTTCAATCGGAATGCTGTGCTTTACTTAAAGCCCTTCAATGGGTTAAGAAAAATTTGACTTGTGTTAATTCTATTCATATATATACTGATTGTATGTCTTTGCTTCAATCCTTGACCTCGGCCCGTCCTACTAATTTATTAATATTTGATATTAAATGTCTATTGAAATTTTTGATGCAGAATATGTGCATTCATTTACACTGGATAAAAGCCCATGTTGGCTTTGTTGGAAATGAAAGGGCCGACGTGCTGGCTAAAGAGGCGACCACTAATGATGATTGTGAATATATAGAAATTTCTGGTTCGAGAAGTTATGCAATTAGAA